TGTGAGAGGCATAATCTTCCTGCTCTAAATCCATGTTGGCCTGGGTTGTGAAGGTCATTGGTCTCTGTGAAACTAGTGACCTGACTCCTGATCTCTCAAATCTTTTTATTATTGTGGGACGTTAGTGCAACTGATCTATAATTCTTTGCCAATGCTTTGCTCCCTCCCTTGTGTAGAGGGGCTATGTCTGCTGATTTAAGCGCATCTGGTATCTCCCCCGTGTCCAAGCTCTTCCTCCACACTATACTGAGTGCCTGTGCTACTGGCACCTTGCATTTCTTTATAAATATTGAATTCCATGAGTCTGGACCCGGGGCTGAGTGCATGGGCATGTTGTCAATTTCCCTTTCAAACTCTGTCACGCTCGTGTTGATACCAATTATATTTACAGGTGTTTCGATATCACGCATAAAGAAGTTGTCCGGATCTTCCACTTTCATGCTGTGTATCGGAGTGCTAAACAGGTCCTCATACTGGTCTTTTAGGATTTCACTAATTTCTTTGTCATCCTCCGTGTATGAACCTTCACTAGTACGAATAGGTCCAATACTGGCAGTGATTATTGCTTTTGATTTAGCATATGTTAAGAAATATTTTGGGTTTTTCTTTATTTCTTGAATTGTTTTCTGTTCTATTTCTTGAATTGCTTTCTGTTCTAGTTGCCTTTCTTCAAACACTTCCCAGTGCATTCCATTTACTAACTACTCTTACACTGAAAAGTTCTTTCTAGTGTCTCTGTGGCTCATTTGGGTACTCAGCTTCCACCTGTGTCCCCTTGTTCGCCCGCGCGCGCGCGTGTGTGGGTATATATATTACTGGAACAAAAAGTTGATTTTTTTCAGTAGGAACGGAGACTGGAGCCGTATGTTTTAGAGTTTTGCGACGCATGGTACCAGCCCCGGGGACCAGACACGTACGTCATGGGATTTGGGGCCCGCGGCATCCAGTGCTCGAAGTGCAGTATAATCTCTTCCCCCCCTCCACCCCCGTACACTCCCCCCCCCCCCCAATACCCCCCCCCCCAATACCCTCCTCCGGCATTCTTAACGTTTTGGCAGGAGGAAGGTACTGGCTCCTGGTTGGTACCTGGTTGATGGGGTTCTGGGAGTTCTTCTACTCCCCAAGCCCGGCCCGAGGCCAGGCTTGACTTGTGAGAGTTTGGTCCACCAGGCTGTTGCTTGGAGCGGCCCGCAGGCCCACATACCCACCACAGCACGCTTGGTCCGGCACTCCCTGGAGGCCACCCCCCCCCTTCATTTTGATAGTGTAGTCAGGGTAGGCCCCCCTGCCCCCCCCCCCCTTCACCAGCATCACGTTCCTTTTGGACTAGCAGGCGGGACCCGACTTTAAACGAAAGCGCTTAGGTAATTTATTGTTTAAGTTTTCTTCATGGTTGTACTCACAGGTGAGGTTGCCAAACTGTTCTCTGAGGTACCCAGAGCAGACACAACACATGTAGCCGGAAGGGAAAGGAACTAGCAGGAGAAAGCACTAAGCCATTACGACTAAGTAGCAGCTGGAAGGGGTCAGGATAAGGATTTGAGATGGGACAGGAGGAAGGAATGGTATCCAACCACTTGGATGGTCGGGGATTGAACGCCGACCTGCATGAAGCGAGACCGTCGCTTTACGCAGAAAAATTGATGATTTATGTTAAAAGAGGAAATTATGCATGTTTCTGCAGGAAGTGCCGGATGAGCCGGCGAGTCTTACCCCTTCAGTTTCTCAACATATAGGTCTGGAGCCAGATTCACGAAGCAGTTACGCAAGCACTTACGAACATGTACATCTTTTCTCAAAATTTACCGGCTTTGTTTCCAATTATTAAACAGTTAATAAGCTCCAAAGCAGCAGAAGGCTGTTTATAACAATAAAAACAGTTTATTGGGAAGTTTTCATGCTTGTAAACTGCTTTATAAATGTAACCAAAACCATCAAAGATTGAGGAAAGATGTATACTTTCGTAAGTACTTGCGTAACTGCTTCGTGAATCTGGCCCCTGGTTCCTGGTCGTACTGCGGGAGTATGACAACTCTGGAGACCTATCACAGGTAACCCGCTGCGAGCACCAGGTGAGTCACCAGCCAGGTGGTGGTGTCTCAATCAACTAAAGTTGAGGGCAGGTAAAAGCATCGTGCAGCTGTAAAAGTTTAAATTTGTCTTTATATCTCCCTAGTGAGAGGAGCATCCGAAGGGGGGGAGGAGGCGGTGCAAGGGGGTAGCGACACCAGCGTGGAGGCTGCGCCCTTCAGGGTGGCTCCTGGTGGCACTGTCTGCCCCCCCTGGCCACCCTGACCGCCCCCTGACCGCCCCCTGACCGCCCTGGCCGCCCTGACCGCCCTGGCCGCCACCTTACGGCTGCAAAGTTACTTTACGCTTCGTGGAAACGAAGCGAAGTGTGTGTGTGTGTGTACTCACCTATATGTGCTTGCAGGATCGAGCATTGACTCTTGGATCCCGCCTTTCTAGCTATCGGTTGTTTACAGCAATGACTCCTGTCCCATTTCCCTATCATATCTAGTTTTAAAAGTATGAATAGTATTTGCTTCCACAACCTGTTCCCCAAGTGCATTCCATTTTTCTACTACTCTCACGCTAAAAGAAAACTTCCTAACATCTCTGTGACTCATCTGAGTTTCCAGTTTCCACCCATGTCCCCTCGTTCTGTTATTATTACGTGTCAACATTTCATCTATTTCCACTTTGTCAATTCCCCTGAGTATTTTATATGTCCCTATCATATCTCCTCTCTCCCTTCTTTTCTCTAGTGTCGTAAGGTTCAGTTCCTTCAGACGCTCTTCATATCCCATCCCTCGTAACTCTGGGACAAGCCTCGTCGCAAACCTCTGAACCTTCTCCAGTTTCTTTGTGTTTCTTCAGGTGGGGGCTCCATGATGGCGCGGCATACTCTAAGACGGGTCTCACGTAGGCAGTGTAAAGCGACCTAAAAGCCTCCTCATTTAGGTTTCTGAATGAAGTTCTAATTTTCGCCAGTGTAGAGTACGCTGCTGTCGTTATCCTATTTATATGTGCCTCAGGAGTTAGATTAGGTGTCACATCCACTCCCAGGTCTCTTTCTCGAATCGTTACAGGTAGGCTGTTCCCCTTCATTGTGTACTGTCCCTTTGGTCTCCTGTCACCTGATCCCATTTCCATAACTTTACATTTACTGGTGTTAAACTCCAGTAGCCATTTCTCTGACCATCTCTGCAACCTGTTTAAGTCCTCTTGGAGGATCCTACAATCCTCGTCTGTCACAACTCTTCTCATTAATTTTGCGTCATCCGCAAACATTGACATGTATGATTCCACTCCTGTAAACATATCATTTACGTAAATTAGAAAGAGGATTGAGCCCAGCACCGATCCTTGAGGTACTCCACTTGTTACTGTTCGCCAGTCCGACTTCTCGCCCCTTACCATTACCCTCTGGCTCCTTCCTGTTAGGTAGTTCTTGTAGTGTGTGTGTGTGTGTGTGTGTGTGTGTGTGTGTGTGTGTGTGTGTGTGTGTGTGTGTGTGTGTGTGTGTGTGTGTGTGTTGAATGAGATAATGGATGAGCCATGTAGTAATGTGGGAACCGACCTGTGAGATTTATATTTATTTAATTTATATGAATTTATATTTATGTTAATTTATATACTTCGATAGCAATTTGTATAATGATAAGTGGACTGTATTTCTGCAATAATCTCTTAATCTCACAAATCGATCCTCTACACATTAGGGGGGGTTTATATTAATTTATATATATGCAGCCAATCAAACTACAGTATTAACTACATACATTGAAGAGGTTCCTTATCTTATAGTACAGTAGGTTAGTCCACCAGGTATAACTAGGGTGTAGACACCAAATTATCCTCTTTGAGGTAGCTTCCATCACCCAGTAACTGGTGCACAAAGTCTTGCTTCCTCGTCTTGACCTGTCAAAAGGGCGCTAGCTGTAAAGCCAAAATCCTATATATGACAGGTATATCAGAGAAAATACTATACATGGAACAATGAAGACCTGGCTTAATTACCTTTAGTTTGAGGCTATCTCGTGCTCTAACCGGTTACCCTACCCAATACCATTAATGGCCACTAATGATAGATAATGGGTTTCGGAAAGAACACTTAACTTGATTTGTTGACAGCGTGTTGATAATGGTACACCTTTGGTTTCCATAACACTACGTCCAAGTAAAATTAACAGGATCCGTATTTGCTCCCGTGTGCCTCTGGTCTAGTATAAACAATGGCTGCCCCCTTTCCTCACTGACGCCTGGCCTACATTGTCCAGATGTCAATAAGTGATAGAAGGGTCACATTTACTCTACTTTAATATTGATAATTAAGTTAATTTATATGAGATGTTTTTCTGATGGTAAAGTCCAAAGACTAATGTATTTAAGAATAATTCCCAGCATAATAGGTGGTGATTTATAATAGTATGTGGTGATGATATCCCGTTTTATATAGACGGTAATTCCACTACAAGTTACATTTTCTATGGGTAACTTGTTGGTAATACAGCAGCAATTATTATCTGTCTGTATGATATTAAATGGTGTCGGATTTTCCGACAAGTAAAGGCTGTGTCGTCGCTGCGGGTCGCTGCAAGCAACAGTCCTACCGATCAAGTTATCACCAGACATGCTTGGCTCCTCGCCGAGCTGCGAGAGTGGCAGAACTCTCGAAACTGACTACCGCAGGTAAAAACAGGTGAAACACTCACAAGAACATACTGGAATTTCCTGAAGTCAAGTTCACTATGACTTCCAGGGCGTTATTTTCCTGAATAAAACCAGTAAGTCGGCTGGAAAGTTTTGGAGCAAAAGCTTCGCAGAATTTAGTAAAAAAAAAAAAATATATATATGATGTATTTATAATTAAAATTTTTACCTCACAACGCTCTACTTTTTGTGTGTATTAATATTGGATTAGGTGGGCTAATATAGTATTAATTAGCTGGTAAGGTAAGCTGGCCAGGTAAACAAGTAACATGGTTTGTTGTGCATCAATGATGAGGTGGTGCGGGCCGAGGGCGGGCCGAGGGCGGGCCGAGGGCTGGCCGAGGGCTGGCCGAGGACTGGCCGAGGGCGGGCCGAGGGCTGGCCGAGGACTGGCCGAGGGCGGGCCGAGGGCTGGCCGAGGACTGGCCGAGGGCGGGCCGAGGGCGGGCCGAGGGCGGGTCGAGGGCTGGCCGAGGGCGGGCCGAGGGCTGGCCGAGGGCGGGCCGAGGGCGGGCCGAGGGCTGGCCGAGGGCTGGCCGAGGACTGGCCGAGGGCGGGCCGAGGGCGGGCCGAGGGCTGGCCGAGGACTGGCCGAGGGCGGGCCGAGGGCGGGCGGGCCGAGGGCTGGCCGAGGACTGGCCGAAGGCGGGCCGAGTTCGGGCCGAGGGCGGGCCGAGGGCTGGCCGAGGACTGGCCGAGGGCGGGCCGAGGGCGGGCCGAGGGCGGGTCGAGGGCTGGCCGAGGGCGGGCCGAGGGCTGGCCGAGGGCGGGCCGAGGGCGGGCCGAGGGCTGGCCGAGGACTGGCCGAGGGCGGGCCGAGGGCGGGTCGAGGGCTGGCCGAGGGCGGGCCGAGGGCTGGCCGAGGGCGGGCCGAGGGCGGGCCGAGGGCGGGCCGAGGGCGGGCCGAGGGCTGGCCGAGGGCTGGCCGAGGGCGGGCCGAGGGCTGGCCGAGGACTGGCCGAGGGCGGGCCGAGGGCGGGTCGAGGGCTGGCCGAGGGCGGGCCGAGGACGGGCCGAGGGCTGGCCGAGGGCTGGCCGAGGGCGGGTCGAGGGCGGGCCGAGGGCGGGCCGAGGGCGGGTCGAGGGCGGGCCGAGGGCTGGCCGAGGGCTGGCCGAGGGCTGGCCGAGGGCGGGCCGAGGGCTGGCCGAGGGCTGGCCGAGGGCTGGCCGAGGGCGGGCAGAGGGTGAGCCTCTGCTCTTATAATTGCCTTAATTTCAGTACTTCCGGCTCTTCCGGCTGCCGAAGCGGAAACCCCAGACAATTCCGCATTGTTTGCTGGTCTGTGGGTGTGGGAGACAGGTGTTCACTGAGCTAGACTTGTGGCCCATGGATGCTGTGCTGTAGTAACCGCCTATATGTAAGGCCACAAGTACCTTGTGTAGGATGCCTACGGATCAGGCATCACACGAGCAGTTCAGAAAACGTATGTGTGGTGACAGAGGAAGTCTGGTTATGGTAGTAGATACCAGTTTATACAACACACCTGTGTAATCATGGGGGCTATTTCCGCACGGCAGGTTGAGCTGTTGAGTGGAGCAGGTATGGCGATAGGTCGCCGCTAATCTGACCTCACCAACGGACTGGATAACCGCTTCCTCCCCTCTCCCCAGTCGCCTCAGTGAAGCCCAGAGAACACCAAATCACATGCGTGTGTATGGTTTAAACTGCATTCTGATTGGTACTCTGTGGGGACGGCTTTAACTAAGTGAAGTGAGGTGTGAGCTCGGCCTTCTCACCCTTGGCTCTCCTGTGGTCATTCTCGGTGAAGCTGTGAGTTAAACAGGGTGAGTGCTTCCTTGAGCTCCAGAGCAGCGTCACCCTTGAGCTCCAGAGCACCGTCACCCTTGACGGCTGCAGTTGCTCACTCCAGACACATCCTGGAAGAGATGACTTCCCATTCATCGATGACTCGGAAGAAGAGTGCGTATGTGTGATGTGACTGTTGAGTAAGTAAGTAACTTGTGTTTATTTTGTCTGATGTTGACTCACATTTTCATGGTGCTAAGTGCGACCCAGTGATAGTTCTTGACTGTGTATGTGGGTCTGCGGGCCGCTCCAAGCAACAGCCTGGTGGACCAAACTCTCACAAGTCAAGCCTGGCCTCGGGCTGGGCTTAGGGAGTAGAAGAACTCCCAGAACCCCATCAAGCAGGTATCAACCAGGTGCTTGGTGCGGCCACTCCGAGCAAAACACCCTCACGGAGTGCCGGTTCTTGACCATACACGTGTTTGTAAATATATATCCAACACACACAGGACTCTCACTCACAATCATTTGTGCATGCAAATAATTTCTCGAGCATCACTTCTAGCTCCTTATTGTCACTTTACGTAGGGCAGTGGTGTAAGGCAGCCGTGATTACCTGTGGTGGGCATGTTACCAGTGTTGGGGTTACCTAGCGTTACCTCACCTGGGTATCGTCGTCAATAGACGATACTGTGAATAGATTTACCTATGCCACTCTTTTAACTCAAGACAATTATCCCCATTTCCATATGTTAAGCACATGGTCGGAAGCCGGTCGGCCGAGCGGACAGCACGCTGTACTTCTGATAATGTGGTCCCGGGTTCGATCCCGGGCGCCGGCGAGAAACAATGGGCAAAGTTTCTTTCACCCTATGCCCCTGTTACCTAGCAGTAAAATAGGTACCTGGGAGTCAGTCAACTGTCACGGGCTGCTTCCTGGGGTGGAGGTATTAGTTTGCCTTGTTCGGGTTGAATGTAGACACAGTAATAGCTTCTGTATATTTATTGACCGAGACAACAAGGTATATATCTGGCCAGCCGAGGTCCACCTACTCTGAGTCTGTGAGGAGAACTGAGGCTGCTGGGAGCATGGCTGATGCTCCTCTGTCTGGCATGACGTCAGAGGCGTACTTGCCTGTGATTGGTTATATTTCAACTGACATAGAATTTGAGCATAACAGAGGCCTGGTCGAGGACCGGGCCGCGGGGACACTAAAGGCCCGAAATCATCTCAAGATAACCTCAAGATGGTGTTTCAGGAAATCCTTTCGCACTCACATTGTAAATTTGTACAGAATCGGTCCCATAAAAGGATCCTCCGCCATATGCTTGTCTTCCAAGTAAATTATTATTGGTGAACTGATTACTGTGATCCCCCCTGCATCACCAGGTAGAGATGTTGACCAGACCACACACTACAAGGTGAAGGGACGACCACGTTCCGGTCCGTCCTGGACCATTCTCAAGTCGATTCACACAATCGACTTGAGAATGGTCCAGGACGGACCGAAACGTCGTCGTCGTCCCTTCACCTTCTAGTGTGTGGTCTGGTCAACATACTTTAGCCACGTTATTGTGACTCATCGCTTGCACCAGGTAGAGATCACACATAACTTGTATCCGGCAAGATTTCCTCAAGATCTTGTGCTGTTGCTTTGGGTATCTTAGGTTGTTGATATGACTTACGAGCGGCTTGCACGCCTGTCCTAGCGTAGGTGCAGCCAGTGGTGGATCAGTCGTGGACCGGGCCGCCGGGACGCAAAGTCCCGAAATCATCAATCAAATCATCTCAAGATAACCAACATTACAGGCATCTGGGGGCAGTGTGGAGTGTTCTTCCTCTGGTGATCATGTCTTCCTTCTTTCCTCTCTCTTCCAGTGAGGAGAGCTCAGACTATATCAGAATTTCCTTGTTACTCATACCTCTCACCTCTGGGATTAGTCTAATAACACACCACACTACCACCACACAATTCCACCACCATCTCTCCAAGAACCACCATACTACCACCCACCCACCAACAACCATCTACCCACCGTACACCACAGCCAATAAGCACAACCAGCACCATTGGTTATACTGGTGAGAATATCTTCATCTGACAAACTTCTCTCCGACTCCAACCAAAACCTCAGAAGTTTTCTTGAATACTTCCACGACTTCTCCCCCCCCATCCCCCGTCACCCCCCCCCCCCCCGTCACCCCCCCCCCCGTCCCCCCCCCCCCCCCCCCCATCCCCCCCGACGCCTCGTGGGAGCGAGTTTATCTATATAAACCAAGCACTTCCGGTGTCTTCACTAATTCCTCACAAGTCCAGTTGATTAATCCAACACAACCTTCTTTTAGAGTGACTTTTTGGCCTGATAATTTTTGTCAAAACTTGCAAAAAATTTGCTGTAACATGTTCAAAGTATCTAAACATCCCACTTGATAAATAACATGACTTGATGCATAGTTATATTAGTCTTGATAACAGTATCATCAGTGGTGTTGTGTGTGGGTGTGGGTGTGGGTGTGTGTGGGTGTGGGTGGGTTTGTGTGTGTGGGTGTGGGAGATGTTGGTGTGTGTGCCAGAGGTGTAAAGTTACAGCTGTAGTCGTGTATGGTGTTAGTGTTAATATCTGTGACCCATATTACCCGGGTATTAGCTGGATAATACCTGCCCTAAGTATTGTGTGGGCACAGATGGGGCCCCCCCTTTCCTCTCTTGATCTTCCAACCTCACTGTTATGACCCATCTTCCTGCTTCCCCCACCCCTTCCCATCTCTTCATCCCCCCTTCCCTCTTTCAATTCCTCTCCTCCCATCTCGGTCTCCTCCCTTCTCTCTTTCTTTTCTCTCCTCCCCTCTCTTTCCTCCTTCCCTACCTCCCATCCCTCCCCTTCCTTCACTGTCTTCCCTCCCTTCCTTCTCTCCCTTCTCTCACTCCCTCCCTTCCCTTCTCTCACTCCCTCCAATCCATGCTCCACTCCCTCTTATCGGAGTGCTTCATTGTACTGCCTCTTTTTTTTAAAGCAAAGTTATTACTGTTTATAAAGAAACTTAGCAACTATTCGCGCTGAGATATCCCAATTAGACAAGTTTGGATATTCGTGAGTTTGGTGGCAAGGGGGTGTAGGGTTGATGAGGGAGGGTGGGGGGTTGGGGGAGAGGGGGGGGGGAAGGAAGCGGGGGGTGAGGTGAGGAGGGAGGGGTGCATGTAGGGAGAGACCAAGGCTCCCTCACACCCTCATTTGGGTGTGAGGGAGAGAGGCGTGTGGGAACAAGGCGAGAGAGGAACCCAAAGACATGGGAGAAACTATCAGGCAAGAGAAGCCATACACACTATGATAAATGAATACAAGTCTTGCTGATCTGGGTCCAGACTTCCCAACTTGGCGTCAGACAAGGTCATAGTGTCAAACCCAGACATAATGCTGTCAAGTAACCACCACTTCCTAAACACCCGCTTAGACAGGGGGTTCAGTAAGCACACGCCACCACCTACCAAGACGGTCGCTTGAGAAACTGACAGGGAGACGTTCAACAGCAGGAATACTCAAGTAAGCAATGTTACAGACTTTAGAGGCAAGGAAACATGAATCATAAATACCGAGCTAAATAAATCAATAAGCACCATAGAAAGAAAAACTTGAAGGGACATATTCCCGGAGCCCACCACATAACCCTGCCACACCTGCAGCCACTGAGGCACTCACAACACTGCAGGCCACATATAACCACCTCCTACAACTTGCAACACAACGGGGGGACGGACGAGCGCAACACACTAAGGGAACTACAAGATGAGCTACAAGATTTATGTAAAACAAAGTACACCAAAAAAATCGAATGCTCTAATAAGTCAAAAGAAAACTGACTACAGAAGCACAGGAAAGTTCTGAAAAAAAATACCTTAATAGGCGCCTCAACAGAGGAAACATCTTACATCAAAGACGCCTCAGGAAATCAACTTTACGAAGACAAGAGAACAAGAACATGAATTTAGGATGAACTGAGAAAAATATTCGGACAAAAAACCCGAGGAAATATGTCAACTTTTGTCCCTATCACATAAATTACAAATGTAGTGGATACCCGCTGTAACACTACTCCCAAGGGAAACACTAGGCCATAACAAGCGGGACCAATGAGCCAGAGCTCAACCCCCGCAAGCACAACTAGGTGAGTACATAGACAACGAGTGCCACCTCATCAGAGAGCCACTGACCATCGCAGAGGTCGAGGAAACAAGGCACCGGGCATTGGTAAAATAAACAGATTAGTTTTGACTCCCAGTGATTGCAATCCATCAACATTCACAAACATCAAATGCCGCTCATGAGAGCTACTCTAAATATCAGCACGTGGGAGAGCATGGGAGAGATGATGTGCGACAACAAGAGTTATGGGGGGGGGCCTCGTAGCCTGGTGGATAGCGCGCAGGACTCGTAATTCTGTGGCGCGGGTTCGATTCCCGCACGAGGCAGAAACAAATAGGCAAAGTTTC